CGTCCATTATAATATCGCAAAAGTATCACTGTATCAAATTAGAGCTAATTGAATTAGAAATGCAAATGAAATCCGAAACTACTCTAATATTGAATAGAACAGTAAGTCAAAATGCGTAAAAGTTAAACAACTAAATCAACCAAATCTTCCAAGTAGTAAAATGACACCAATAATCAACCATATTGCACAAATGTTCAAGACGACGTGAAGAAGAGAAGTGAGAAGTGAACGAGTCGAAGGCAAGGCCTTTCTTCATATGCACCTCCACAAGCGCCGCAGCTGTAGACTTCGACCATCGTGTCCTTTCCATACAAAAGAAGTGCCATCTGCGGAGCCACGTGCCGAGCCTAGCCTGGGAAGTGCTGAACGCTAAGCTGAAATGAAGCCAGATAAAAATATAAAGCTAGAGCTTACGTATCAGCAATCAGTAAAGGGCGTAAAAATCGCAATTATCCGCGACATTCCCGTCGTCGCCAATTCACGTGATTAGGCGTCTTCTGCAAGCGCATCCAACATTCTTTCGTGCTCTCGGATTTCTTCACTGCGTCTTGCTATTGCATGTGTTCCGCAGCCAGCTGATCGAGAAGGCGCTGGCTACGTTCTGGCAGATCGCACAGTGCCGAGTGGTGAGTGGTTCTCTCGGCAATGGAAGCAGCGCACAGTCAGCTTGTGGGCAACGCTGGCCCCCTCCACAGCGCTCCAGGCAGTGCTCGCACTTTCCGTTGCGTAGCAGCAGACGCCTTTCTGGAGATGTTCTCACGATTGGACAAGCGCTTGAGTAGTGTTCCCCCACTGCATCACAAAAGGCGCACCCCATGTGTCTGTCACGTTCTCTAGTGATGACCCTCGCTCGATCCGACGCCTCTGACAAAAGGGCCTCATCATATCCTGAATGGTATACGAAGAGACAGTCTGTTCTCGGCGCTGTCGGCGGAGCTCCAATAGAATTTGCCACGTTATACGCTTGATTCAGGGTGACAGCCCCCCGCACACGCATTCCTCTGGTCAGCCCTCGAATCCTCAACGTCGCGGGGGTTTTCAGCCTGTGCTGGCTGCATCTCCATTGCAACGTCATCGTTGTCGTCGCTGGATTTGTTGCTGTCGTCGTCGCTGGATTCGCCGCTGTTGTCATCGCTGGTTTCGTCGCTATCACCGTCACCGGCATCTTCTATCTTCATCTTTCTCTTCCATAAACGGCGTATTATCAGCGATGACCTGACGCTGTTCTTGACGCGCGGGAACTTCTCCAGCCGGTCGTTGCTCGGGATTTGGTCTCACGAGGGCACTCAAGCCGTCAATGGCGCTGTGCGGTGGCCTGTATTGCTTCTCTTATTTCATTCAGTTCTCGAGGGATGTCTTAGATTCCAAAAGATCCACGTTGTCCTTTTACAACTTTTTAAATTTCATCGATGATACGTTGAAGATCCTTACAGTACCTAGTCATCAACCCTTTTTGGGATCTCAGACGTGTGGGTCCCGCTTCAGGTATTGCAAACGGAAAACTGTGTGAAGAAGGAAAAGCGAAAAGGAAGCGTATAAAGGATGAAAAAGAACTAAAGTGCTGCGTTGACGAACTGCGCTCGATACACAGAATCCGAATAGAAAGCTGTTATTTTCTGAGCGTACCGGTGTCTTGGTTCGAAGAGCCGATGCACCATATAATAACTTGGTGGTTCTGTTGTTCGGACATTGAGTTTACCACAAATGGCACACCAAGATAGTGCCACGGGTTTTTCTCAGACCTCGAATTTGGGTAATTGAACTAGGCACCTAATAAGCGTCCATTAGAATATAGCAAAACCAATCAATGTATCGAACTGAACTCAATTGGGTTAGAACTGTTGATGAAATCCGAAAGTGCTCTAAGGTCAAGTAATAAAATGGCAAATAATCAACCATATTACCCAAATGTCAAGGCGACGTGAAGAGTGAGAAGTGGGAAATGAGTAAAGTACACAAAGACAAAGCCTTTATGCACTTTCACAAGCGCCGCAGCTGTAGACTTCGACCATCGTGTCCTTCCATACAAAAGAAGTGCCATCTGCGGAGCCACGTGCGAGCCTAGCCTGGGAATTAATGAACGCTAAGCTGAAATGAAGCCAGTTAAATACATAGATAAAGCTTATGGTATATCAGTAGAGGGCATGAAAATTGCGGTTATCCGCGATAAGCGCGCCAATGGGGAAGGATGTTCCGTTCATACGGTCACCGTGGAGTGGCCTTCAAGCCAGTTTGCACCCTTTATACACTCCATACCCTGGAGATGGGGAAGGCGTGGCTATGTTCTTCGATTGAATGTGGGGCTTCTCGCTTCTCGTGGGACATTGTCTTTCTGGGATGACTGACGTCCTGTCGTTGTCTCGCACAAGGCAGTTGTCCGAACAGAAAAAGCCCTTGAAGAAGCATCGCACCCCATTTTTAAATAGAGTACGCAGTCACGCCCTTCCATTTCCGTTTCTCTGACTCGTCACAAATTCGTTGTTGTGGTTAGTGGGAGCAAAGCATGGGATGGCACATAAAGGAGAATAAGCTAAACGGCTATCTCAAGAATGCTGAGTTACGGGAAAAAAGACTCAGGGAACAGGAAGGGCTCGAGCTTACCAGTTACCAGGCTAGAGTGGTTACAGTACACCATCAAGACCGGCCTAGACCCTCTCTCCTCATCCCTTGCAGCCAACTTTTCCTCTAATACGTGATGTCGATTTATTGGTCACAATTCTTCAAATGTTGAACCCGATTCCTACAACTTATCGAGCAAACCAAAACACGCCTCGAATTATCTCCGCGCCTCTAGATGAGAAGAGTTCACTGGCGCATCCTGAAAGCAACAGACGATTTTATGACTCTCAATATAGAAAAGAATGTCGATCTTTCAGGACAACGGGTAGAATTAGCAGATCTTGAGCCGTGGCAACTACTACCGTACACTCGAGATCTTGTAACTTACGAGGGATCCATGACGGCTCCGGGATGTCATGAAACCGTAACATGGATCATCCTTAATCAGCCTATTCACATTACCAAAGATCATGTGAGTGTTCTACTTTTTG